CGCCATCACTGTCCTAGCGGCTAGGACCTAGCGGATTTTGCTCAGCGGATAGAGTGTTGTCACCCTGCAGACTGAAGGGTCCCGAGTTCGTTTCTGGTCAAGGGCATACAGGAGGCAGCCGATCAATGATTCTCTCTCATCATTGATATTCCTCTCTCTCTCTCTCTCTCTCCCTCTCCCTTCCTCTCTGAAATCAATTAAAAATATATTTTTTAAAAAAAGAACAATAGCCCCAGTAACCATAGGGTTATTGTGAAAATTAATATATGGGCTTATATATGCAAGGCACTTGGAACAGCCCTGGCCGATGGAGGGCCATGTCAGTGTTAACTGTAATTATTGCTAATTATCATGACGATGCTGCGAAGCGTGTGGTCATGCCTGCTCTCCCACATTTGTGGGCAGGCTGCGTAGCCCACGCAGCTCCCTTGGAACCTGCCTCAGAGAACTCAGGGGGAGCTCCCTGCTCCCCACACTGACTCAATACACGGGGCTGCAGCGCCGGGGCTGGGTGGTTGCAGGTTCCAAGGAATCAAACAGACTCAGGTTCAAACCCTGCCTTTGCCACGTGCCAGCTGGGGACCCCAAGTGCTTACTGCACAAGGTCTGGGTGAAGGGAGAGTGAGCCCCCCACACTCCCCACCCACACTCGCCCCAAGTGACCTGTCCAGCACACACTCTGGCCTATCCTTAGCCAGTGCCATTTTGATTATCATATTATTATTCAATGAGCAAGACTCCGTAGGTGCAAGCTGAGACCATCTTTGCTCTTTTCCTCCAGTACTCAGTGCATTTACCCTGGCCCCACCGTGTCTCTGCATGCCTCAAACTCCAGGAGAGACATGGGGGAGGGCACCCCCATACTATCCTCTGTCGTCTCATCCAAGGTACACCCAGCCCTCCCACCTGTGGGCTTCGAATATGCGACCCCATCTCCGCCGCCCCCATCTCACCTTTCAGTCCTCCTCCAGACCTCGCCTCAATCGCCACCTCCTCAGGGAAGACTTCCCTGACTTCCACCCAAGCCTCATCAGGTCTCCCTGTTAGATATTCCATTAACATTTTGTTGTTGTTATTAATCTTCACCCAAGGATACTTTTCCCATTGATTTTTAAAGAGTGAAAGGGGGGTGGGGGGGGAGAGAAAGAAGAGAGAAGCCAGAGAGACAGACACATCTATTGGTTGCCTCCTGCACACACCCCAACCTGATTTGGGATCAAACCTGCAACCCAGGTACATGCCCTTGATCAGGAATCAAACCTGTGGCCCTTCAGTGCGCGGGCGGAGGCTCTAACCGCTGAGCAACACCGGCCAGGCTCCATTCACATTTTTATTGGACACTCTCCCACTCTCCCCACCGCACCCCACTCCTACCCAGGGATTCCTTCTTCCAGCAACTGCATGTTTCGGAGTGCTGGTCTTTGGCCAGCTGCCGAAGCTGGCGTGGCCCAAGCAAAGGCTGGCCAGAAGTGCTACCGAATCAGCAGCCTCCCCTTCCCGGGCCACCCAACCGGGGAGCAGCCTTTAAGGAACGAGGGTGGGGATTGGTGGATAAATAGCCCGCTCCCGCGCCCTTCAGCTCTGCCGACTCGGACGAGGGTGCTCTCTGCTGCCTCCCAGAGGTCCCGGCGGCACTGCGCCCAGTGGTCCAGCTGGTAACAGCTGGTTTCATCACTGCAGTTACTGGCGCCTTCCCTCCCCTGTCTCACGGCCCACGCCCTCATCCGTGTCTCCTTGGGCTACCTCCCAGATAAATTACTTGCCCCGGAATTCTTGTCTCGGGGTCACCTTCTGGGGGAGCCCACGCTCAGACAGCACTTCGCCCTATCCCTGTGAAGGTCATAATTCTTTGCAGGCATTGGGCATGTCTCCCCGCTGGCCTGAGTTATGTCCACCCTTGTGTCTTCAGTGCCTGGCATGTAGTAGATGCTCAATAAATGACCCCAAGTCTCCTAGCTCTGGGGGCCAGGTGGTAACGGGGAGCTCTGCCCCCACTCGGGTCCTCAGAAGCCCCCAGTTGGAGAGAGTCACGGGGCAGGAGGGGAGCTTACTCCTTCCAAGCTATAAATGGCAGCCTCCACGGCCGGGCGCCCCAGGCCACACAGCCTGGACAGCTGGGCCAGGGCCCCCAGGGACCAGGGACCCCAAATGACCCTTCAGGTCTGGCCAGGGCTCCTGGGGTGTCCATGAGGCAGGTACATGGAGAGGACATAACTCCAGTCCAAGGCTGCAGGGCGGAGGGATGGGATCACTGGGCTCTAAGGCAGGCCTAGGTCCCCTCTCCCCTCCCAGGCATCAGATTCCACCTCTGGGAGCTCCCAGAGCAAGAGGCCAGGGCAGGGACCGGGGTCTGCCCTACAAGGCCATGGAGCGAGCAGGCGCCTCCTGGGGGAGAGATCCCTTTTCAAGCTGGTGGTGTCAGACCTGGAATTAGCCACCCACCTGCGGTGAGGCCAGTCTCAGGGTCCCCCAGGGCCAGCAGGGGGGCGGGGAGGGAGCTGACTTCCAATGACTCAGCTTAAGACAGTCAGGGAATCAGGGGGTGGGGGGGGGGCGGGTTAGGGACCCCTCTCCAGCTCTGTTCTAGGGTCAGCTAGGTCGGGGTCCAGCTCTGCCACTCGCAAGGTGGGTGACCCTGGGGTGTCACCCTGGACCTCTATAAAATGAGAATAAGAACAGCCCCCTGCTCAGGGATCGGAGGCTGAAGTGAGATGATGCCAGTCGAGTGCTCAGAGCCGTGTTCGGCACACAGTGGGCACCAGTGAACGGTATTCCATGGTCTACTCCATCGGTGGGCAAACTTTTTGACTCGAGGGCCACAATGGGTTCTTAAACTGGACCGGAGGGCCGGAACAAAAGCATGGATGGAGTGTTTGTGTAAACTAATATAAATTCAAAGTAAACATCATTACATAAAAGGGTACGGTCTTTTTTTTCAGTAGTTTTATTCATTTCAAACGGGCCGGATCCGGCCTGCAGGCCATAGTTTGCCCACAGCTGGTCTACTCTGTACTCTGCGCTGCCAGGAAAAGGGGGGGAACAGAGGGCGGGGGGAGGGATAAACCGATGTCCTCGGAGCATAAGAGGTTCCAGAATGTTCTGTTTGCTGTTATTATGGCCCCAATGCCTTTGAGTGGGGGAGTTCTAACCATGACAAAGGAAGGTCTAATAGCTTAAGGGGCAGTGAAGGAGCCAGGATGGGGCACAGGGGAGCCAAGAACTCTGGATCTTGGCCTGCCCCCACCCCCAGACTCCCAGTGGTGCTGACTGCTGCCCAGTCTCTCTCGTTACCCCACTCCCTCTGTGGCCTTGGGCAGGAAACCCAGAAACCTCCATACCACATGGGAGTGTTGGTTCAGGGCTCTGTTCAGGAAGGCTTCCTGGAGGAAGAGCCATTCGGTCTGGGTTTTGAAGGATGAATAGAAGTTTCCTGGCTTAAGAACTGTGTGAGAGAGTGTGTGAGTGTAGAGAGGGGGTTGTTCATTTTCATTAACGAGGCTCATCTGGGCCCCAGGCACTCAGGGGCCCACAGACAAGACCAAGGCCCAGGCCTGCCCCAAAGCAGCTCAGTCTGAACGTGATGATCGAATAATAACCGCAGAGCAACAGCTCCCACAGTCTGAGCATGTGCGCGAGGCCTCAGCCTGCGAGGGGCACTCTGTTTGTCAAGTGAATGAACGAGCAAACAGTTCTTTCTAAAGGCAGCGAATCCACCCAGCCGGTGCTTGAGCATTGACCTATGAACTAGGAGGTCACGGTTCGATTCCCGGTCAGGGCACATGCCCGGGTTACAGGCTCAATCCCCAGTGGGGGGTGTGCAGGAGGCAGCCAATCAATGATTTCCTCTCATCATTGAGGTTTCTCTCTCTCTCTCTCCCTTCCTCTCTGAAATCAATAACAAATATATTCAAATAAAATGAAACAAAGGCAGTGAGTCCTGCCCCGGTTGATGGAGGAGAGAGGGAAGCACAGTGGGCAGCGGGGGCCACAGGTGCAGAGGCCTGGGAGGAGGAAATGGCATCCCTGCCTGGGAGCTCTGAGCGCTGAGCTGGGAGAGCTGGGTGTAGGTAGGGGTGGGCGGGGGTGCGCAGGAGTCTTGAGTAAGAGGCTGAGGGGCTAGGCCTCCTGTTCCTGGGGGGACTGCAGAGTTGGGCAGGGAGGGCATCGGGGTCTGGCCGGGGCCTGCCGGTGCCTCCAAGTTTCTGAGAGAAGGACAGTCCAGGTCAATCTCACCCTGGTGAGCCAGATCATGGGGCCAGGGGAGATGACAGAGGGAGAGGGAGGCAAAGGAGACAGAAAGAGAGAGGGGGACAGAGAGAGGAGCCTGAAGAAATACAGGGAGAGAGACAACGAGTTACAGAGAGAATCGGAGATAGGGAGACAGAGTGACAAAATGAGAGCTACAGAGAGACAGACAGAGAGATGGAGAGAGACACAGACCAAAAGAGGGACAGAGACAGAGAAATGACGAGAAACAGAGACAGTCACCAAATCAGAGACAGAGGGAGAAGATGATGAGACGAAGACCCTCCAGGAAGAGGTGGGAGGACCCCCTGGGGTGATAGCAGGCGATGGGATGGGGGCCTGACCCCAATTCCTGGAGGCAGTCCCAGGAGGGGAGGAGGAGGGAGGACAGGAGCCTCCCCGGCCCACTCTGTACCCACCCACCAGTCCTCCTCCGCCCTCCCAACCACCGATGTGGAAATTGAGGCCAACTAGCAGGCCACAGGGGATCGCCCTGGGCCAGCACCGTGGCCCCAGGTTCGTGTGGGACCAGTGTCACCAGGTTAAAAATGGAAATGGGTTCGGCCTTTTTTTTTTTTTCCTTTGAGAAAATCCTAGGCCCAAATAAGGTACGGGCTGCGGGTGCCTGGTGAGCTGGCCAAGTTCTCCCGAGCGAGCGAGTGGCTGCTGGCCCGGCCAGCCTGGGCTTGGGCCTCCTCCAAGACTCGCCCCGGCAGGGCGGCACACCCTGGGCGGCTATAAGGGCCTCCACTCCACCCTGCTGCTCACTGAGCCCAGCCACCGATCCCGCCCGGACCCACCACCTGCGCCCTCTCCGCCCAGCCATGGAGGCCATCAAGAAGAAAATGCAGATGCTCAAACTGGACAAGGAGAACGCCATCGACCGTGCCGAGCAGGCCGAGTCTGACAAGAAGGCTGCGGAGGAGAAGTGCAAGCAGGTGGGGCCCGGCCGCTGGGCCGCACCAGGCGCCCCCGTGCCCTCTCTGAGCCGGGGAAGCTCTGGGCAGAGGGTGGGGCTCAGAAACCTTGGTGCCTGGAGGTTAGGAAGGGGACAGGGGGGTGATGCCTCAGCCAAGGAAGAGTGAGGGGATCATTGTCTTCCCGGGAGGGGGGTCCCTGGGCTGAGAGAGAGAGGTGACAGGACCCACCCAACAGGACCAGCCGGAGCCAAGCAAGTAAGCAGGGGCGTCTGTTTGTGCTGGATGTGTGTGTGCAGACATAAGAGTGAGTGTAGGTGTGTCGGGGTGAGCGTGTGAGGTGGGTATATGTGTACTGGATAGGGTGGAGAGAGAGGGGGAGAGAGGAACCTGAAGAAATAGAGGGAGAGAGACAAAGAGATACAGGGGGACGCTGTGTGTAAGTGTATTTGTGTGTGTT